CGGGAGAGATGGAGGCAGACCCCCCCGGGGGGCCCATGCCCATACGCAAAGGCTGGGGGGCTTCCAGGGGTCTCGACTGCTGCAGAAGGCCCCCTCCAAAAAGCGTTTCTCCCCCCGGCTCCTTGGCCCAGGTTAGCAGCCCTGACCTGGGCAGCCCTGTGGCCGTTGCGGGTGCTCCTAGGGCCAGGCTGGGGAGAGGTCAGCAACTGGAACGCCCCGGGCCAAATCCAGCCCTGCCAGAGAAGCCAGCCGGCCTGCAGCCTTCCAGCCCGGAGGATAAAGAAAGTGGCGCCAACCCATCGCTCGCCGTGATCGCGGGGTCAAAGCCCAGCCCATTTTGACTTGGGTCACGTGTGCAACGGGTGTAAAACCAGGGGGGGCTTTGGTTGCATGGTCATGTGGGCCCCTTGACTTTTTTGACTCCCTTGCGGACCCCCTTGTTCGAGGCCACCCTCTCTGTGTAGAACCTGCCCCACCTACGTGACCCACTTTCTCCTCAGAGCAGTTTGCCCCCCAGGTTGGGCACGGCCATGCCCCGATGGCGTTCTGTGGGAGGATGAGAACGGTCCTTTTTCTGGGAGCGGCTGGACGCTTCTGACGGCAACTCCCGGCTTCTTTTTCTTCACTTTTTTCCTTCGTTTTCCTCGTTCCGTATTGTTTTATGGATGGATTTTGGAATTAGGGCTGTTTTCTCTCGTGTGCTGAAAGCCGCCCGGAAGGGGAGAGCGGGGCCGCGTTCTTTTGGCTCATAAGCCGTGAGGAAACAGAGCATTGCAGCTTCTGCCTGCAGAAGTGGCTGAATTAATTTGATGAATTTATTCCTCAAATTTAGATGGCCGCCTACCTCGCATGACGTGACTCTGGGCAGCGTACAGTAAAACAGCAATTAAAGCATTGTACAAACCCAGTTAAAGCACCTGTGAATACACCTGTGGAAGATTCAGGGCGGCGTCAAGATGTCTCACCTGGCGCCTCTTCCCACTGTGTTCCTTTGCAGGCTTCCTAGAATCTTCCAGGTACCCCTACTCGGAGATCATTGTGCCCAAGGAGGTGGACTTGAGCGACGTTTCGGACAACGAGGTAAACCTTCCTCCCCGCCCCAAGAGGTTGATGACGCTTTTCAACACTCCTTTCTTTCAGGAGTGGTTTATCATGAGAAAGAAAACGGGTATTGAAGTAAGATAGGAATATTAACAGAATGCATAGAAACGGGCAGCCATGAAAACATGCTGGCGTACCAGTTAGAAATTTAGAAAGGTAAAAACTCGTGGCTTGCAAACAGGGGCAGCTGCAGCAGGGGTCCAAAAAGTCAAGATGGCTTTTTGATTGAATGCATGATTGAAGCACTGCCCTTTTTTAGATTTCTCCCCTGAGCTGTATGTAAAAAAGGAGCAGTGCTCTGCCATCTTGACTTTTTTGACCCCTCCTGGATTGTCCCTGCCTACAGAGAAGGCCACTTTCCTACTCTCCACCTGCCTGGCTTCTGGCTGGAGGAGCACCATTGTGTGCATTGCAGTAGTCCAGCTGGAAAGTGACTTAAGGCACCGTAGAGCGGCTGCTTTCCATCAGGAGCCACGGAAGGGCAGGCCAGGGCCAGAGAAAGCAAAGCACAGCTTCTTTAACTGGATCAAAAGAGAGCAGGGATTATTCTTTCTCTGAAGCCAAAGAACCTGACTTCACTTAGTCTCGCCCTCTTTCCCCAGAGAGGGACCCTGACCTTTCCAGACAGACGGGCTGTCTGCTCCCTGGCATATTGTGGGAGAGGCGGACGCTGGCCCGGAGACACAGTTGGGCAGGTCCCCTTGCAAAGGACAGGGAGGAGAGGCCAGAAGACAGCAAGAGAGAGGCAAAAATGGAACCCCTTATGCCCTTTAACGTGGCTGCGATCGCTCCACTTTTGCTCCAGCCGGAGAGCTCAGAGAAGGAGAATCAGGGAGCATCCAGTCAATAAAGAAGCTTCTTGCTGTCCCCGCGTGCCCTCTGCAGGACAATTCATGCCAGAGGTGTTTGTCAAGATCGCTCCCCCGTGCTGGGAAGGAGGAGCCCATGTTTTAAAGACCTCTCCCCTCTTTTTTCCCCTCTTTAGGTAGACGTGTCCTACGCACTGGCAGTGGAAGGAAGACACAGAGTGGTTCACCTGAAACAGATGTAAGCGGTCGCTTTCCTCTGAGTTGGTTTTGTTTTCTCAACTAGCTAAATAGATTTCAAGAGGCCTCCTCTCTGGCCGCTCTGCACGGCTTCGGAGCTGCGTTTTCTCCAGCAAGCGTGGCAAAAGAAAAATGTTGTGTATCTACATACTCTGGAACAGGAAAGGGAAACCAACAGGCCTCAAAGCATTGATGAATTATTGATCCCAGTAACAAGGAACTGTGGTTGTTGGTTAGGGAAGTGGAGGCTGGAATATTGCTATAGAAAGATGGAGCCTTTGGGACAGCAGGCAGCAGCTCTGATACAGCTTGTTCTATGCCACTGAGCTTCAGCAAGGCAGTAACTCTATTCACATTTACTTGCACGTTCCATTAAAATCAACCAGCATTTATTCTGTAACTGATCAGTATGCCAGACCTAAAGCGGGCTGGGGGAATTCTGGGAGTTGAAGTCTGAAAGTTCCAGAGGGTGAGAAACAGGGTTTAAAGGGATCCTTTGGCTGCCATGAATGTGATACTGTCAGTGTGTGCTGGTGCACAACAGAAGGGGCAGAGGAGGGGTCAGAAAAGGCAAGATGGTGGCTGTGACCGTGTAATTTAAGCCCAGTCCCTTTTTATGGGTCACATGATACATGGAGGGGCTTTGGTCATGTGACTGCAGCCACCATCTTGACATTTTTGACCCCCTCGTAGATGCCATTGGGGAAAAATGGTGTCCGCGGGCATCAAATAAAGCAGTGCTGATGGTTGGCACAGTTTGTCTGAGAAAGTTCTCATTTAAATAAAAGAAGGAGAATTTCTTCAGAATTATTTTTCCTTTCACCTCTACCCTATTATTTAGAGAACAATAGCTAATAAAAAAACTTTGGTTCAGCTCTAACTAGCACAGCTATTTTAACAGTTAATAATTGCAGTGCATCAGAGGCTGCAAATCACAATGATATTTACCGTATTTTTTTAAAAAAAAAACTTTCAGGACTTTTATGACTTCAGCGTTGCCTGTATATTCTTACAATGGAAAGGGAGACCTGATTGCAGATTATCCATACATTCAGGTAAATGTTGCACATGTATTATTTTCTAAGATCCCAAAGTGAAAGGGTATCTGTAAAGTTTGAAGTTCAGAGGGCTCCAAAAACAACCCATACTGATATCCGCGGGATATTTATATATCTAAATCTACTCCTGTTTTCCCTTTATTTTTATTGTTGATACCTAAAAGGGCTCACAGTCTCATTAAAAATTGTAGCATAAAAGGGAGTCATTCACAATAGAAATGCTAGGTAAGCGTATGGACACATAAGCCATTTTCTGTCGTTCTGACCCAGGAGGAAACTCCATCAAAACTTAGGCAGCATCCCCACATGTAAGTTTGCACAGATTTATCCAGCTATTGTTCTCCTGGAATAGCAGGAACGAATAGATTTTATCATTCCTCAAAGTTGCTGGAAGATTGAGCCTCGCGGGTGCTCACTTCTGATTCTATCGGGGTACGCGGTATTTTAGCAGCAGATGGCCAGAATAGAACCCTGGGCTTGGAGCTTAAAACGTACGTGGTGTTGCAAGTGTTTCTATTTAAGCAGACACAAAGATAAGGAACCTCTGGCCAGGTTACATGTGCCCCTGTATCATGAGTGTACCTGTGGACACTCAAGGGAGATCCCTCCCGCTCTCCCCGAACCCCAGCCCCTTCCGTGCTGGGAAGAGGAGGTACATCAAAGAGATGCTTCTCCAAGTTTGCTCCCATCTGAAAATATGCAGGGGAGATGAAAGCAATTCCCGATTAAGTGGGGCATAACTGCACTTGTGACTGGACGTGGGGGGCCACGGGGGTGGGCAAGCTGGCTGGTCTGTGTCCTTCCCTTCGTTAGTTTTTGAAGAATTGGCTCTCCAGTCCCTCTATCTTAAGTGGCCCAACACACATTGGAAGGGCACCTGTTGATCCAGAACTACAGCTAAAGCAGAATTTCATACAATATTATGGAAACAATCCACAGCATTGAAGTAGTCAAAATAATTATGGCAAATGAAAATATGAGGGAATGAGGTGGCATGAGGGTTTGATTTTATTTTGCATGCGCTGAGGGCAAAGGACTGGTTTCCCTCAAAGCTATTCCACGCCCCCACCCCCCCGCCACTGCCTATGAGGCCTAATCGCCATTCTGGGTGGACCAACCCATTGTCGCTTTGTCCATCCTGCCTCTGTAGAAGCCTAACTTTTTTCTCTATGCCTAGCAAGCCTCCACATTTTCTTTCCTGTGATGCATCTGCATCTGCAGAGGGGGTCAAAAACGTCAAGATGGCAGTCACAGCAGTGTGATCAGAGCCCCGATCCTTCTGCATGTGCACTGACATTGCATGCATGTCCCAAGGAGCGGGACTTCAAGCGCACTGCTGTGACTGCCATCTGGGCTTTTGTGACCCCCACCCGCCCCATAGCTGCTGCTGCTGCTGCTGCGCATCTTAATAAACTCTAAAGACTGTTTCAAACAAATAGTTTTGGTGCCAGTTTGGTGCACTGGAGGGCTGTAACTGCTAGCACGCTCTTGAAAGCCTGGCCCTTTCAGCCTGACTACCAGATGCTGGCCTTAAGGAGGCCTTGTGTTCCTCAGTCAGCAGAAAAGGGACGGCACTTTCCTTCTCTTGCTCTTGTGCCCAGGACCCTGGCTGAGGGGAGAAAAAGAACAGGGTGCCAGCAGCTGCCAGCTGAGGCAGCTGCTGCGGGCCTGGTTGGGGACAGGGCAGTGCCAGCACCTCACGGCTGTCTAGATCAGGGAAGGCTAGAACTAAGCTTTGTTGCTGGCTGGGGAATTCTGGGGGCTGAAGTCCACCCATCCTAAAATTGCCAAGAATAAGGGCACCCTGCAATTCCGCTTGCACTTTTCCTCCCCTCCCTCTTACACCGCAGGGAGTTGGAGGGAGCCTGCCTTGTCTCTTCCTTACGCCATCTCCTTTCCCAGGGCTCAAAGAACGGGTGCCTCTGCCCTTTCCGCTTCTGCAAGGGCCTCCAAATGTGTCCCACAGGGCCATCTCTGCAGACCCAGTGGGAGAGACAGCCATGCGGCAGGAAATAGAGCACCCAGCGTGGTATATAGGAAATAATGCCTACGTGGTGCGGTTACACTATGGTTACCGAAAGGCGATGATGAATGCATTAACTAAAAACGTTCAGCAGTGGGCAAATGGAATATAAGGGGAAGCGTTAAGTTTCCCACGGAACCCTCTTCTAAATATGAATCGTGTTTGTGCAGAAGGGTAAAGATAGTGAATGTTAGGCGTGTGCAATGCTTTTTGTTTAAGCAAACCCCTCCAATATGCTTCCTCTGAATTTGTTCTCAAGATGTCTTTTTCGGCCTTTGTAGGACAATTGCTATTACAGAGGCTACGTGGACGGCGTGGCAGACTCCCAGGTCATCCTCTCCACCTGCAGTGGGCTTTGGTAATAAAGCCTTGGTGTTACAAAATGATCTAGATAGAATCTGAGTTTCACGAGTTTTGGGGCTTCAGCTACACTCAGGCCACATCTTATGTCAAAGTTTCCCTTCTGTGCAGCTGCATTTGAATCTTAAATTAGTTTTGAATCCTACAATCTGAAAATCAGAATCATCACGGCCTAGGGGAAATGGGCAGCTTTTAATGATCCCTGAGCATTTCCTTGCTTATTCCTTTGATATACGGGAGCTTACAGTGAAACATGCGTTTCAATGATCTTAGAAAGGCTCTGAAGCTATGGCTGATAATCAGGAGGGTCTGCAGGGGGGCAGTCAAAAAGGTCAAGGTGGCAGCCACAACCACGTGATTGAACCCCCATCACTCTTTTGCGTTCATTGTGTGTGCAGCACATGAAAAATAGGGGCAGGGCTTCGGGCATGTGGTCACGGCTGCCATCTTGCCTTTTTTGAACCCTCCCCTCCACAGGTCCCTCTGGTGATCACCTGTGGGGGCTGAGTCCATCAAAAGGCAGGATGTTGTAAATCCCAAGCAAAAAAAGTCACAGCATGAATAGCAATCCAGTTAGTTTTAGATGAAATGAATGCTGCACCCGCTTGCTTCTCTTCCTTCCAGTGGGTCAGACTGGGCCATCTGTTGACCACCTTTTATTAATTCTCCCTGTGGCTGGCCCTAAGTCTGCATTTTGGGTTTTTCCCCCAGGGGACACCTGCAAATGGAGACTTTAAGGTATGAAATTGAGCCAATTGAGAGCTCTCGCACCTTTCAACACCTTATTTATAGAAAAGTGGCAGAGCAGAAGGAACCTTGCAGAGGAGTCGTTGAGGGTGATGCTGATTTTGCAAGCGGAAAAGTGAGAATGGTGGCTAATGAGAGCTTGAGTCCTTCTGCCAGGGAGGTGAGTGGGTTTGGCGTGGTTGCCTTTGCTGAATCCACACCTTCAGTCGATATGGGCTGAGGGCAACTCCGCTTCCTAAGTCTACAGGGGTTGGGGAGGTGGAAAGGTCTGCTTCTGCTGCGAGAGGAGAGGAGGGCTGCCCCAGGGCTGCTTAAGCTGAAGTCCATGGAGAGGTCATCTTCTCTGTGGAGCGTCTTGCTATTAGAGAGGGAGGGGACACCTGCAGGGGCAGAAAAGGGGGATCGGTGGTTTTAAGTGAGAGAGAGGAACAGTATATGTTGAACATCTGGAAGAATCTAGATGAGAAGGTCTCTTTTTTGAGAGAGGAAATAGCAGAGAAGGATTGTGGCTGGTGTCTCTGGGGTTTTAAAAGAAAAGCTTGTCCAGCCCATAAATGACACGGTATGTGATCATGTTCTGTATCAAAGCTTCCAATGTGAACTATCCAATGTAAATTTTGACAGTCAATGTAGCTTTGACCCCCATGGCCTTTGCG